CAATGCAATATCTACAACATAAGATTTGCCAATGGGACTCATAAGTGTGTCTTGTTTGGCACCAAATTTTCCGCCATCATTTATCTCATGTGCCCCTGTTGAAATTTCACAATCCACACCCTTCCACGGGTGAGAACCTAACTCTGCCTTTTGAAAAGTTATTTTCACTAGTGGTATTGTTATTTTGAATATGTCAGATTCTTCGCAAATACTTTGGGTGGTGCATATTTACAGTCAGCAAACTTAGTTACATGATATCATCATTCCAAATCCTGTTTATTTCGGAATTAATCAATAATCAGAAACTTTCAATAAATTCATGAAATGATCAAATTTCATTCAATATCGCATGCAAATATTTTCAATTGTAGGGAGGGAGGAGCAAGTGAGACAACTTAAGGTTCAACTTCTTTACTTTTAGAAATTAAACAACGTGTATTGAATAAAAATCAAATTTGATTATTTAAATACTAACCTAATATTAAAGAAGAAACAAAATAATAACTATTCAAACCACTGTTGATAAAACTACTGTGTTAGCGAAACATGTCGTGATATATTTTTCAAATAAAATTTGTGGCGATCAAATCGTGAGATGCAGTTTATGAAATTTCAGAGAAACATCAGAGTTAAAAAAATAGACAAATGACTCACTTGCACCAAGGTGTGGGGTTAGTGAATCACCCATATGGGACAAGTGAGTCTTTATAGTAATCATCAACGACAGTTGTCACAAACATAATTATTAGCCCCCGGTTAGTTATCTGAACATTCCTCGTGCTTCAAGGCACCATCACATTCTACGCACATGATCCATTATTCGTAACAAGTGTCTTCATAAGTCACACGACGGTAAACGCATATTGTGGCTTCGTCTTCCTCTGACATTGTCGCTGCTCTTGCTGATGAGTTTTTTTTCCTCTGAGTTTTCCCTTTTTTCACTTTTTCAACAGACGAGTTTGGCCCTGCTTGCCCAAAACTCTTCTTGGCTGATTTAGCTTTTACTGTTTTCAATTTCTCTTTCAATTCATCTTCTAGTCGGTCATTGTAAGGTGAACTGGTGATTATTTCAGATCCTTTTGTGATTCTGGATTTTCTTTTGGTGATGCTTGTTTTTGAGATTGTATTGGGATTGGACTTGATTTTGAAATAGGGTCATAACTGTATGAAGGTTGTTCTGGCTGTAAACTCGCTTTGGTGTCCTTTTCTTTTGAGGTGGTCGAGGGATTGTACTTACATTTGACCTGCACCACGGTTGATCTGGCTCTAGAATTGTTTTGGTGTTATTCTTGCTGTGAGGTGGTTTTGGGATTGGATCTGAATCTGAAACGGACGGTTGTTCTGTTGTCTCTGAAAAAACCGAGGGATTGATATTTTTGCGGTTGGATCCTGTTTGAATAATGTTTTCGGCTGCCTGGATTATACAGACAGATTCCCGTTTTTTCAAAGCCCTTGATACTATTTATTGATGTGAATGTTTCAATTAGGGTGTTTTTGATAATAGGTGCCATGTCATATTCAGTGATTCTAGAGCTAGGGTGATTTGTGAGCCAATGAGTCCATTTCTTTTACCGGGTAGGTTTTGAATGGTCCAAATACGCTTATATCAAGAGGCTGGAGCCTACTCGACGTATGAGGAGGTGAAGTGAAAATGATAACTTCAGAATTTCTAGTCAGACTTATTGATTCGATAGACTTGTGGCTTGAATGGCCGTCTAATAGCAGTAGACTCGGAGACTCCTTCATGGTTTTAGTGCAGTCTATAGAATTCTCCAAAAATCATCCTGATTAAGCAAGAAATCCTACTGTTCCAGGTAATGTACCATTCAGCAAAGTTAGATTCATTCTTATACGAAGGAAGAGACTAGAAATGGTGGAATGAAGGTGCCCGTAGCTTTGACACACGCTAATCGTAATGAAGTTGTATTCTTTCCCTGTCTCGTCACAGTTAGATATTTTATGCGGGGAAAAATTGTACGTATCCAATAATTTTTTTGAACTTTCAAAAAACTCACCAACTCTGTGCTTGGAAAATCCTGTCACTCAAGCTATGCTTTTTGCTTCAGGTCTTCTGATAGAGAAGTTTCCTTGACGTTTCAAAAATGATATCAGCCAGTCTTTTCCTGCCAGCTTCCGATCTTTATCAACTGGATAATTGATTTATTTGGTTAGCTTCAGCAGACTGAAATGCAATTCGTTGAAGATCTGTAGTTGAGGGTCTATAAAATAGCTTTGCGCAATCCATGATTTTTGTGGGTAACTAGTTTATTCTACATCAACATTGTATGTAACTTCTGTAATATGTATTTGTATATTTTTGTATGATATGTTCACACAATTCCATTTCCATTTTTTCAGTAAACACGGGGTTCAACCTATCTAGGTTTCTAACCGGATCGTGACCCGTGAGTGTATGCTAGTTCTCAGAATTCTGAAAACCAACTAGCTTTTCCGATCGACATCTTTTTATTCCAAACAGTTTATAAGGCACGTTGCATAAGCATCTTCTGAGTATGGCCCTTTTTGGGTCTTACACATGTTTTTACGCACCATTTTCAACCTGCAAGAAATACAAATAACTAACTACTTATTCATATATGTTACAGTGGGACAAGTGAGTCATTACTACTGAGCTATGACTCACTTGCCCCAACGTGACAGTGAAATCTTTAGAGATATATCAAAGCAGAAAAGGTACATTTGGCAACGTTCTGACGGTCTCAGACGGTATTACTCAAATATAAGATTATGTTACGTTCAATGAATTGCAGATAGACAGTGCCTTGGGGATGATCTCCACTGGTGTTCCTCTTCTTTTCCTTCGGACGTGTAGCGCGGATTATGTCTTTCCTGTCGTAGCCGTTCGCTTGTAACACAGTTGTTAGATATTTTACTTCGTCGTCCACGTACCTTTCTCCACATATTCTCAAAGCTCTGTTCACTAGGGTGTTGATGACGGGTCTCTTCTGTTTTAGATGACGGTTGGATCCATTATGTAGGTGTTGATGTGTGTGTCTTTCCTTCATGTACATCTTATGACCTAGTTGAAAGCTGAAACATCCATGGTGAACTGGATTTTCGGATGAAAGCTATTCAGATGATTTGAGAAGTTCTGAAGTTCTTCTTTTCCATGACTTCAAACAAAGAACGTGTCATCTACATACCTCAACCAGTGCGTTGATGTTTGAATTGGTCTTTCTTCAAATTTTTCCATTTAGAAATTCGCCACAACTAGGATAAGGGGACTGCCCAAGGCGACTTTATCAACTTGTTCATAAAAGGTTTTATTCTGTTGAAAATAAATTGTCGATAGTGAGTGTCGAAATAAGTTGATATCTTGTGGGAAGAAGAGTACTTCTACCACGCCATTGAAGATAACTGCCGCAGTTGCAGTGGAAAAGTTTGGAAATCATAACAAAAGAAGATTACGCCAAAAAACGGAAACCATCCAAAATATTGACGCTAGCCGTGAAAGCCTAGATTACTATACATATTCTACTCAAATTGGTTATTGGACATAAATCAGCAATATTTCCACTTGCGACCAGTCAGCGGAAATTGCAGAATAATTCATTGTAAAATGTAACCCTGGTTGTTTGAAATTTTTATTATAAAAAGTTGATTATTGAAAGTTTACATATCCTTCTCCCGTGGATTGGACTACCTATCGGGCGCGTCCCCAGGTGGTGGATAGGGGAACGGCCAGGGGACTGGAGGCCCTATCCGGGAAGCCAATGTGGTCTTACGAACGGGGTCGCCGGACTCCTGGTCAGTGGCAGAAATGAGTAGAGTGAAGGGAACTCAAACCCCCCAAAAGCCTTTACAAATCATGCCACCGTGGATCAGCCTGCCCAAGCTGGGGTATAAGGAATCGTGCCGACAGCTGAATGACCGCAGGGTGATATGCCGTCACGAACGATCCCCTTGGGGAACTGGGCGAAACCTCATTGTAATCAGCCTACCTCTGGTAATGCGGGTCTCTGCCAGAGGTGAGCAACTCTTCCTTTGCTACTCGTGGGAACACACATGAATGAAACAGCACAAAAACAGAAACCACAAAAACAAAAACCAATCCCGAGGCTGGACAGAAGTGCTCACCTCAATCTAAGGCGGTGGCTGGGAATGAACAGAAATGTCCACCCCAATCTACTGCGTGGAATGAGGCTGCACATAGCATATCACCTATAACAGCAAGGGCACTTCCTGCGGCGGGCGCAAAGTGCTCCACCTTGAATAAAGGCAAGGAACCGGCTGCCCCTGCAGGAAAGTTCCCTCACTTGTGCATCTCCACGGAGGAAACTCCAAGAAGGTTGAAAAAGCCGCGCAACGGCAGTAATATCACTGCACCTTCCAAAACCTTCACGGAAGCCACCGTGAGACACCTCAAGCTTGCCAAAGAGAGTGTGTGTTCGGCGAGTCTTGGGCTCTATCTGCCAATATAAAGGAGGAGTCTCCTAGTGACCTGTTCGCCTTCTTGGAAAGGACAGGATGGACGATGACTTAGGAGAACAATTCCTCGGGAGGATGTACAATGGGTCACATGTGGCCTAAGTGCTGTAATCTTTGATAGTTCAAATATTGAGTAGACTCCTATACATTACATTCACACTTCTCAAAGGTTTTTATTGAACATTTTGGGTATTTCCACAATCTGAAAAACTATGAAAATTATAATGGAGAACTTTATACAAGTGAAGAAGGGGCAAACTTTTTACTTTGCCCCGATAAGTTACTGCGTAAAATCAAAGTATTTTTCACAAAGGGAAATGTTCTTTTCATCACTATCTTGTCGTATTTAACAATTTGCCTATCAAAAAAACTGATATGAAATAATACAATACTCAACTTAACGTTTTGAAGGCCAAAATCTGTTTTCGTCTTCAGAAATGAACAAAAAATTCAAATACATAATATGCAGTTATTCCTTTGCTGATTATTTATTTCTCAACTTCATTGACAGATTTTAAAGGAGTTTTATTTGTCAGGTTGTTAATACTCACATCCAAATCATTCAAAGACCACGTGATATTCATGGCTGGATACGACCCAGGCGTTGTACAGTTAGCTCGAATTTTGCTACCTAGAGCTACCTTCGGCGTTTCCAATTTCAGGACGGGTACATCTTCAGGAACATCTGAAACCGGAAAATGTAACGAAATAACCTACAAAGATTCAAAAAACTTGAAGAAAATAGTTGAACAATATTTTGAAAACTCCATTAAAAAAATTCCAAAAAGAAAAACAAGTTTTTTTCCAGATATGCAAATGGTTGACACTGGCTGACACATTGGCTGAAAATCTATAATGAACGTATTCAATAAATATCTATCGATACATCTTTAGGAGTATTACATGAAGATATCATAGCAAAGCGTTATTACAAACATCCTGCTTCTTACTGATCAGTCGAACGTAAAAAATTATTTTCATTTTCTTCATTCCTGTAGCTCGGTTGTGAAAATTGTTCGGCAAATAGAGAAGCAGTCTAAGGAAATGGAAAAAAGTTCACTATGGACAACTTCAACAGATTAGTAACAAAGTGATATGCACAAAAATGCTCGAATCTACATTTTTAGAGAGAGTCGGTTCAATTAGATAGACCTCGGATCAACGGTTAGCTTGACAGATTCAGCGGAATCACACGAATGAGGTAACGGACTGGAATAGTGGGATCGACAACAAACAAGGTGGTTATCTTGCTTCAATTGTGTCAAACGACAGCAATGGCCAACTCAGTGGCATCATCATGACCCACTTGCGTTCAGCTCTCCTCGTTGAACAAATTTGAAACACGATATTGTTCCATCCGTCCTACTCTCCTTAGCACCAAGCGCAGCACGCTCATGATGTTTAGATAGTAACTAACTGGGAAGTGATATCGGATTCTCTGCCAGTCCTGGAATGTCAAATCTATTTGTGAAGTTTGATCTGGGGCGCGTTTTGAGCAGCATCGATGACTAGTATCTGAACTATCAGTTCGATATATCTACTGGCCCAGAATGATGATAAAATCATATATACTGGCCAATACCATTCAGTAATGGAGCTAAACCCTTAATACAACCATTTTATATACAGTTTCCTTCTTTGGAATTGATTGCTTTGGAAGATTCTTTGGAAGACTCCCACATTCTTTTCAATGAATATGAAGAAGTAGAAAACCAAAACTTTTCTTTCCCAAAAATTAATCTCTCCTAAAAATGAACCCCTTTCAATTTGTGATTTCTATGACTGAGATAAAGCGAAATAAGCGAATGAATATCATTACATACTGTCATCGTTGACATGAGTATATTGAACATAAAGTCATAATTTTATGGATCAATTGAGTGTTTTTTGGTATTGAAGAGCCGATAAGGCAAGCTTCTCACGGTGAAACGTCGGATGTCTGCCAGTGAGTTTTCATCTTGAAGTATCATGATGTCCATGTGTCCAACCACTGTCCTGAACGTCTCCTGTTGTCTCAGAGGATCCATTTTTCATCAAACGTGACGATTCGTTTTGATTGAGCCAAACAAAAAAGTGTTGACCTTGAAACGTGACAATTTCTGTCTCACACCTATTCACACTCGACGAAATGAACCCAGCTTCTTAAAGAAGCCGATTAGTTTGTATGATGAGTGATCTTTCAAGTCAGAAGGTGAGAGTACGTCTCTGCCCAACTCAAAAACCTGATTCGGTCCCCATCGGGGCAAGCACAACGCATGTGCTCTGCTGTTTCATCATTTTCCAAACAGAGGCGACACACACTGTCTTCCGACAATCCGAATCTCTCCATGTGATGATTCAAACGACATTGACCTGTAAGGCCTGTTAGACGTCATAGTTCATCCCTACTGTAGTCCGACAACTGTTTGGTATCGAGCTTCGAAGGGCGAATAAACGCCTTGGAGTGAGCCAATCCTGGAAGATTCTGCCAGGAGTCCATAAATCTTCTTGCTATCCAGGTGTTCAAAGTTTGTTTGGCAAAGCCTTAAGTGATGTTAATGTCAGGTTCTGGTCCGATGAAGCTGCTTGCATCACTCTCCTTTGCAAGGGAGTTAGCAGCCTCATTGCCTTCCAGGCCAGTATGGCTAGGAATCCAGACCAGAGACAATCTGTCAAGTTTTCCTATCGAGAAGAGTCGTTTTTCGCAATTTGCTACCAATTTAGACGTTGCTTGGTAGGTGCCAAGAGCTTCCAACGTCGCTTGACTGTTCAAAAATATTTTTATTGACTTTTATTGACTTTCCGAGCATCCTTAACTCTCTTATGCGTTATGCGTTATGAGCTAACGCTCAGTTTTGTCTCCATCCCACGTACCGTTTCTGATGAGTCAACCTCCACCAGGGTCCCTAAATCCTGTAAAAACTGTATGTCGACCACTTTGGGGCTTCTCTTCAAGGCTAAAATATCTGAAATGGAATTTTGCACACATTCGTTGAACAGTTCGTTCATTAACAAATTCACTGCCAAATGCCTGGATTATTTTTTGGGCTATTTTGGCACCGCTATTGTTCAATTTAGGTTTTTAGGAAAAAATTGGTCATAAATCGCTGAATGAGATCATATAGTAACAAGCTAAAAACTGGCTCAAAATTTGAATCTGATAAAAAAATTTGTATTGCATTAATTCACAGTATTCTTGACATTCAACTGACACCGTTGAGATTCACTTCAGTAATAGACAGGAAAGCTAATGCTATCAGACTATTACAGAATATGTAGTTAACTCAGTTATATAATTGTATTGCATGAATTCATAGTATTATTGAAATTCCACTGAACAATTTTCATAGGTTGCAGAGTCACAAATGACTCTTACAATGATGAGACAGTACAGATTCACTTCCGTTATAGACAGGAGAGCTGATGCTATCAAACTATTAGTGAATATGTAGGTAACAGTTATATGATTGTATTGCATGAATTGATAGTATTATTAAAATCCCACTAAACAACTTTCATAAGTTGTAGAGTCACAAATGACTCTCAAAATGATGACATCGTTGAGATTCAGTTCCGTTATAGACAGGAGAGCTAATGCTATCAAACTATTAGAGAATATGTAGATAACAGTTATATGATTGCATTGCATGAATTCACAGTAATCTTGAAATTCCACTGAACCACTTTCATAAGTTGCAGAGTCACAAATGACTCTCAGAATGATGACACCATTGAGATTAAGTTCAGTTATAGACAAGATATCAAAAGCTATCATACTATTAGAGAGTATGTAGATAACTCAGTTATATAATTGTGTTGCATAAGTTCACAGTATTATTGAATTTCTATTGAACAACTTTCATGAATTGCAGAATCCTAAGTGACTTTCAAAATGACGACACCGTTGAGATTCAGTTCCGTTATAGACAAGGAAAGCTGATGCTATTAGACTATCAGGGAATATGTTGGTGACTCAGTTATATAATTGTATCACACGAATTCACATTATTATTGAATTCCCACTGAACAACTTTCAATGAGTTGCAGAATCACAATTGACATCCAAAATAATGACACTGTTAGCTTAGCATAACAATATCATAATATTGAAAAACTGAAATCATGAAAGTGAAATAAAATCACCCTCTCAAGACTCCGTTAATTTTCCAACTTCAATAAGTCTCGACATCTGACGAGTTTGGTTTGTGAGGAGATACTAATTAATCAATTGAAAACAATTTTTTCACACCATGCTCAATTAGTCAGTAGTTCGTTCGTTCACTAGACGCACATACCAATGATAACAGTAGCAGACGAAACGTTAGGCAGTTCAAGAATTTCTCTATCCCACTTATTGACATTGAAATTATGAAATGAAATAACTCATGCACGACCTACTTCCATCATTTTCACTGAAAAATCACTTTCGTCGGCAGCAACGATTCTTCATCCAGCGATGAAAATGCCCATCACATAAACTATCAAATATTCCATAAATGCCTCTGGCAACTGAAACTTGTAATATACGAGGCCAAAGCCCGACCGATTTATCGATACCCATTCACGAGGCGTCCTCACTAACTTATAATAAACGATGTATGTGTTTGGAAAGGCTTACAAGATTAGACCCCAATAAATTCGACTGGCTCAGAGAAACAGAACAAAGCTGTCAATGTAAGCAACAAATACTCTCTTAAGATTCTGCTACTCGAATGGTTTGATCAAAGTGGCTGATTCTCGCCCCTATGGCAGTAATTAGGCCGAAGGCCTCTGGCGATTGGGGTAGTTGCACTGGCTTGAATCGAAGAGCGTAGCTTACTGACACAATGATTATGGAAATGTGTTTCAATTATTGTTTAGTCAACTGTGCTGAATTGTGGAGTGTTGAACTTGACAGGGGTAGTCACTCATCTACTCCGTAGAATTTCTAATCCAAACACATACTTGAAATACGGGAAGGTAAATATTTTGATATTCAGTTGACGATTGAAACCGTTCAAAATGGAACTGGATGTAAATATTTTCGAAGGTTTCACAGAAAACGAGGCTTCATTTGTAGAATATAGATGCTTAAGTTCCAAATCGTGTATTTGGACCATCGACAAATTATTGCAAGGCATACCTGCTTGAAAAATTATTTAGAAAAATTCGAAAATTAGTCGTTTTCTCGCAGGAGAAGAAAGTTTTTTGTAAGGACAAAACACAAGCAGTACAGAAAAATCCTTGGTACCTGTGCGAAAGTAGCGATTCACATTGGATTTGAATCGCTGGAGATTGAATCCATTTGGAAAAACGTTCTCAGGAAGTTTATTCCACATGAAAGCAGTTCTCTGGATGGAGGAGTTCCTAAACAGTGAAGTTGGACATGTACTGAGTTTAACCTCAAAACAATGAACAGCTACAGTCCGTCGCGTATTTCTGAAATGTACCACTCTTAGTAGAATCGAATGTGCCAAAACACTTGAACACTCCCCGTGAAAGTATCTATAGAAGTGAGACATATCTAAAACTTTTCTTCGATGTTGCAGGGTATCAAGGTTGCACGTGATGTTCGCGTCTCCAATCAGGCGGATGGCACTTTTCTGGATGGAATCCAGCAACTTCAAATTATGTTTAGGGGCAGAGCTCCATACATGAGAACAATACTCCAAAGAAGATCTAATATGAGCTTTATAAAGCATCAAAAGTTGCAGACGTGTGTACAGT